GTTGAGATAGGTTACTAGGGTTTCGAAAAACTAATTTGGCTTTATGTCAGACAGATCTACTAAAGAGGCGATTCATCTACTTCGACGACTTATGGAGAAATATAGGGAAAAAAATAGAGATCTTCACATGGCGTTCATTGACCTTGAGAAGGCATATGATAGCGTACCCCGCGATACGATCTGGAAGACCTTGGAAACGAGAAGGATCCCAACTGCTTATATACGGGCGATTTGTGATATATACTATAGATCTACTACATACGTCAGAACTACAGTTGGCGACACTGAGGCTTTCCCGGTGGAAATCGGACTCCACCAGGGGTCGACTCTTAGCCCTTACATCTTTGCCTTGATTATAGATGACATCTATTGTGCGACACCAGACGGTGTTCCATGGTATATGCTTTTTTCTAACGAAATTGTCCTAGTTGCTGAAACAAAAAATGAGCTGAATAGTAGACTGGCTACCTGGAAGATTGTTTTGGAAGAAAAAGGTCTAAGGATCAATATTGAAAAGATAGAGTATTTATATTCAAACTTCAATGGAAACCAAAATGATGAATATGTAGATGTATGCATCGAAGGACATGTTATCCCCTCAAAGGATTGTTTCAAGTACCTAGGGTTTATGATATATAAAGATGGGGGTGTAGATGATGACGTTACACACCGTATAAAAGTGGGATGACTAAAGTGGAGGGCTGATACTGGAGTTTTGTGTGACAAGAAGGTGCCTCTAAAACTTAAGGGAAAATTTTATAGAATGACAATAAGACCAGCGTTGTTGTATGGATCAGAATGTTGGGCAATCAAAAAGGATCACGTAAGGAGAATGGAGGTCGTAGAAATGAGAATGCTTCCATGGGCATATGGTAGGACTCTGTGGGATATGACACCAAACTCTGCAATTAGGATGTCCTTGGGGGTAGTGCATGTATCTGAAAAATTGAGGGAGGGAAGGTTACGGTGGTTTGGGCATGTCCTTAGGCGAAAACCGTCGGATGCAGTCAGGAGGGTAGAGTCGATTACATTCGACGGTGTCAGAAGGAGATGACGACCAATGAGGAAGTGGGTAGATTGCTTGAGATCTGATTTGAAGGATTTAGCCCTTACCGAGGACATGACCTCTGATAGGAAAGTATGGAGACTAAAGACCAGGGTAGCCGAGTGAGTCACTGCCATATGGTGTAGCATCTCTGTCTTCTTTTTAAATTGCCTTTGTAGTAATTTCCATGACCTCTACTTTTTATATGTTTCTGTCATTGGATTTTATGAAGGATTAGAACTAGGGTAGCGGAGTAGTGTTACCTTAGTTTAGGTTTTAACCCATTAGACTTTATTTCTTCTCGTAGCTTGCTATCGCTGACTTCCGTGTATCATTCTCTTCATGTTTCCTCTTTTTAAATTTAGTCAGGACTTACATTTCTGTTTATATGCAGAGATTTTTAGACAGAGATTTTTAGGCAGGGATTTATGTGCAGGTACTACTTCCCATTACAGACTCGCATATGAAGACTAGTTCAACTATGTATTTATTGATTTATTTATACATGCATTGTATTTTATCTTTATTTTTAATTTTCTGACTGCTGGAGGTCTTCCACGGAAGCTGCTCTCAACCTGGCGTTGGAGGCAAACTACTACCCTACCTCCCCCTTACCCCATAGCATATTGGGAATAGGGTTTTGTTGTTGTTGTATTATTTATGAATATTGTTTATGGACTAATGGCTAATCTTTCTCTTGATTGTTATCTAAGCAGCTTAAGTTATATCTATATAAATCAATTGGCTATTTTCTTAAAAATCTTGTTTAAATGTTTTATAGAATCTTTTTGATTTAACAAAAAGGGGGAGAATAAAGTAAGGGGGTAATTTTCAAAAATGATTTTCAAAGAAAATCTTGAAATTACTTAAATGTTTTGTTTTATCAAAAAGGGGGAGAATGTTGAAAACATTTTGATGTTTTGATATAACAAATAAAGTACTATTGAATTTTAAGATTTTATTTAATTTTAAATCATATATTCGATTAAATTATTCGAATATAAAAATATTACTCCAAGTTTTCAAATGTCAATTTTAAACCTTAAGTTTAAAATTGTGTTTTAATCTTAAAATATTTTTGAAACAATTTTTACAAAGAATTTCGAACCATAATCGGGCCAAAAATAATTTTTACAAAGGGAGGTCTCGTTACACTCTTGAATGTACTGATACACCCTGTACATCGAATGTAATTAGTGTTCCGATACACAGCCGATGTATCGATACACTCCAGGCTCCAAGAAACATCGAATGTAATTAGTGTACCGATACACCTGGGATGTACCGATACACCTGGTCAACTAACGGTCGAAATATTTAAATTTTACACTGAGTGTACCGATACACCCTTGAGAGTGTACCGATACACCTACGCTCCCAACAAAATTTTTAAATGGTATTCACACCGTAACGACTTTATTGACTTCACCAATGATCCCCAACGTTCAGAAGTGATACAAGATGTATTTAAACAAGCTCAAGAGCCATTGGTCAACAAGAATTGAAAAAGAATCAAGAGAGAAAGCATCAAACATCAAGTTTGTGAAATTCAAGCCAATTTTCCTTCAATATTCATTTTGCTTTCAAGAACACATTTTTGTGCTCAATTGTATTCATCTTTGAGTGTTCTTTTCTTGTTCTAGAATTGTGCAAACATTCTACCTTGTGAGGTTTTTCTGTAAAGTTTGCAAATTTGTAAGTTTCTCTTTGGGAGAGAGTGTTCTCAAGAATTTGGGGTATAATTCTTGAGGGAGTTGTAATGTTACTCTTTGTCCTCAAAAGAAAGAACAAATTAGTGAATTTGTTGGAAAATCATTAGTGTGGATAGCTAAGGTAGTGGACATAGACTTTGGTTGAGAAAGTCGAACCACTCTAAATCACTGTGCAAATATTTTTAATTTTCTGCAAAAGCTTCCACCAAAGTTTTATTGCCAATTCACCCCCTCTTGGCCAATTCATCGATCGATTAACTCAACACATTTTCTAAGAGAACATTAGTTTTAGTATATATAAGTATATTTTATCCTCCGATTTATGGTTGGGATAAAGTGAGTCGTTTATGTTTTTTTTATTTTATAGAAAGTCGTTAGTTTTATTAAAAACGGAAAATATTCAGAATTACAATAAAGATTTACAAATATAATCGTAATCGTAAACTAAATTATAATTAAGACATTTTACTATAACCATGACACAAAAATTAGCCACCTAGATCATACAATGATCAAAAAAGGAAAAGATTTAAAAAACCTAATCAATGCTCAAACAAAATAAAGAAATAAATAAATCTAATTGCATCGGCAAACGAACCACAAAAGGGGATAAAACTACTAAAAGGCCACCGAAAAAGCGCGAATCAGAGTCAAGCGACGTGAGAAAACTATCCACGAGCGCAAAACGCGTATCCAAATCAATCCGAGGGTCCAAAGCATGGAAGATCAGCATGATAACAAATAAGCACCATCTTGATCAATCTTGGTGATGTCAAATCTAACCTGAGAAAAAAGATAAAACAAAAACAACAGCTAAACGATTGAAAACTATCAAAAGGCAGAGAAAAACGTGCCACAAAGACAGAGATAAACGTGTCATAAAGGCAGAGATAAACATATCAGAAAGAGAAAATTATTCCTATTAAAAAACTAAAAAAAATAAAGAGAACATACAACCGACAGTCGGCAACCAGTATTAAAATCGGTACTGTCGTTGGCTAAATAAAATCAAAGAAGAAAAAGTTGATTTGATATATAAAAATTGACCCAAGTTGTAAAAAAAATGGAGGAGAAGAGAGGGGGAGATAGCTGTTTGAGTCGTTTATGTATTATATTAGTAAAAGAATTTAATTTATAATTATAAATCTTATAACATATAAAAATATATTGGATCTATTTCAATCAGACTTCAGTATTGACGACAATGTTATTAAAAATAATTAAAGGGTTGATATAAAAATGTCCAATTTGTACATTTTTCATTTAGCTGTTTAAATTATTTTTCATCTAAATTATTTTTTAATCAATTTAAATACTTAAGGTTGTAAGCTTGATTATTTTAAGTGTCCTGACTATAACAATCGTTAAAAACTCTGTTAAGTATTATATATTTTATTTATATAACTTTAAAAAGTTCATTTTAAATAAAAAAATTATAATTATAATTTTTTTAATAACCCCAATTTTTTGGAAATTTAGCCTCAAAAACTTTAAATCCTTATACTCATGTCGGTTGTTGCCCTTTGTTATTGTTGCGATTGACCGAAACTCCATTGACAGATACAATCACTTGAAGAATTCTCAACTGATGATTTAAACTCGACAAACAATAATCCCAAAATCGTTAAACTAAAGCACTTGCCTTGCCTTGGCAGCCTGCATACGCATATATCCATTTAGCTAGAGTAAGCAGGGCAGTTAAAGCACTTTTGAAGAAAAGTAAAAGCTTTGAAACCTGCTTCTTCCAATTTGTAAAGGCGAAGACAAGGCAAGAAGAAGGCCTTGAACGTTTGACCCCACCAACATTCCAATCTACAGCCCTTCCCCTCTTAATTTCAAAATAAAGCCTCATATAATCGCTGCTGGAATCCCGGCCAGATAATACGCCCTAAGATTAGCATAAGCTCCGATATGTTGCCACCCCATTCCTCTCACCATGCCTGCATGCACCACATCTCAAATCAATATATACAGAGAGAGATAGGATACGTTTAGGCGTTTACACTATGTAGAACTTGTTGAGGCTCTGACCGCAAGCAACCTCATGTAAACCATCGGCAATAAGTGAGAGGCAGACCAGAGGATCGATTCGTGCGACTTTGAGTACGACTTCGTTTTCACTGCTGTAATCATACCCGAAAACATGGAGACAACAGAAAAGAATTGTACTTGCAATGAGCGTTTCCACGAGTGTGAGGAGCAGTGAAACAAAGGAGGTTACTTGAGCTGCCTGTGGGTTACCAGCTCCTAATGCATTTGAAATCCTTGTACTGTAAAGATATATGGTGACAGAATTATTGCTCAAAATATAAGTATAAAACTAAGTGAACCGAATGTAATGGACAAGTTCAAACCTGGCAGCTATACTGATTCCAAGTGGTATGTTATAATGCAATGCGTCGCTTGAAAGGCTGCACATTAACAGAAACAGATGCATACAATTAGAGGTATTAATGCAACAATGAAAATTAGGGGTGAAATATAAATGGTAATAAACAGTTTCATACCATATCGAAAGGACTGAAGTTTCAAGCTTTGAATTTGGGAGAAGACCAGACATTAGTACAAGAATCTCAAAACACCACCATTCCAGGCTGCAAAGAAGACCCACCCAACACATTAAGAACAAACAATTAAACATGAGAAAACAGACGGTCGAAAAGGATGATGAATGATGCTGCTCGTTTACCAGCACATTACAGCAGAAGGAACAGCGAACCGGAAAAACTTCTGGACGCTCATGAAAACATCCTTCAAGTAGAGGGTTCGGTTTCCCGACATGACGATGAGTACCCCATGTAGAATCCTAGCAAGATCACGTAGAACCAATACGATAAACCGATAGCCAATGCCGCCCCGGTGTATCCGAACCCGGATTCGAATACCAAAACCCAGCAAAGGGACACATGGAAACACAGTGTTGCGAGCGAGGTGTACAACGATGGAAGGACCAATCTCTGGGATTGGAAGAAACGAACCTGTGATTGAAGAATGGAGTAGGCGAAGAGTGAGCCACATTGCATATCGATAAGCTATCTCTGTAACTTGAGGGTTTTGGCCAATCAGCACCAATAGTTTGTCCATGTACATCCACAGGAGACACACGGGGAGGGAAATCCGAAGTGCACATATTATGGAGCAGTAAGTTTAGCTTCCTAGTTTATGGTATTGCATTGCTCCATAGGCTTGTCCGTTTAGAGTTTCCAGTGCACCGGAAAGTCCCCACTGTTAGTCACAAAATATTATGCAGCCATTGTGATGAAGGCATTAAAAGTAAAATAAAAAAAAGGTGAGAGAACTGTGTTTACGAGGAGGCTGAAGCCGGTGACATTGCAGAAAGCGGTGGCGACGGCAATACCAGACAGTGGGAGCTCGCCGAGGTGGCCGGCCATCGTCATCGACACGACCTGCAAAAGGCACTGTGAAAACGCCACAGCCAGAAATGGTGCGGCGAAAAAGCTCAGTCTCTTGAGCTCTTCCACCACCACTTCCCATGTCAGAATCTCACAGATCCTCCCTCCTTTCCTTTGAAGCAACGCCTCATCCATTTTTTTTCTGGACTTAAGATCCAAAAACCCCACACTATATCAGGTACAGTGCGTTGCCCAAATCTCCTTTTAAAAAATAAGGGTAAAATACATATTTAGTCACTCTCTATTTTTTTTACAATTCTGTTTTGATCATTTAATTTCTTTTAAACAAAATTCCATTTTTTTCACTTACTAATGTGTCATTATATAATAATACCATAATATCATTAAAAAATATTAAATTAATAATTCTAATTTATCTTTTAATAAATTATCAAAATAAAATAAAATCATAACATTAAATATAATTAGAATCAAAATAAGATAATAGAAATAAATTATTTTTCTATTTAATTTTTAATTTTTAAAAATTAAATTTAAAATTCTAATTTTTGATATTATTATTATTTTACTATAAAATATTTATTTTAGATATAAAATTATAAATAAAAAATATAAATAATCTTTAAATTTCTTAAATTTATGATATATGAAATAATTTAATTTAATTATAATAATAATATATATATATAATATCATAACTCATTAATGATATTTTTATATATAAAATATAGATTTCAAATATTTTTAAATGATTAATATAAATTATTGGATTTTAATATATCTAAATATTTTAAGAAATTAATATGCCTTAAACAATAAATCATGTTTGCACAATATTTGGTTCTAATTATTAATATTTATTTATATCGGTATAGTTGTTTTTAATCTAAACCTAAATTGTTTGTAAAATTAATTTAAATATATAAAGTATATTTTAGATATTAAAAGTATAATATGAACGTAACCATTATATTATTATATGTCCATAAGAAAATTGAAATAGATTAAAAATAAAATACTTGTATACCCAACATAAATATTATGAAAAATATTATTTTATTTTCAATAAAAATTAAATTATTATATATAACAATCAAAATGAATATTAATAAAAAATAATTAATTTCAAAACTAATTAAAATAAAATATTTACATGTAATAAAATATAATTTCACTTCAAGATATTTTTAAAGTAAAAATTGATTTTTTTTAATTCAGAAAAATACTTTTCAATCATAGTTTTAGGTTAGAAAATGAATGTTTAGCATGACTTGTAACACCCAAATTTTAGGCTAGTAGTTTTGGGTTTACCCAAGAGCCATTTGGACCTCGTAGGGTTCATAATTAAAGTCGTTGGGTCAAATATGAGCTTGATTGGATGTGAGTTGAGCCTAATTGACATTAAAAGAGGATCTTATAATAGTATAAAGATGAAGAAGGATCAAATGTGCGATTATCCCATTTTAAAAAGATGAGAAGTATTTTATCTCTTTTTATCTTATTCTCTTATTTCATTCTCATTTATCTTTCCTTCTTCCTCTCCAAGTTCCATAGCTAAAAGAGAGTCCTTTGAGCTTTATAATTCATCCTTTATCCCTCCAACAACATCCTTGATGTTCATAATCTCATAACTTTCCTTATTGGCTAGAGAAAGGGGGTGAAAATCATCTTAGTTCAAGAAGAGTGAGAGAAAGTAAAGCTTTTTGAGACAGAAGCTTTATTTCGGGATTCTAACAACAATGTAGTGTATTTCTAATCCTTTATGGTGTTAAGACTTTCATAAGCACAAAGATTTGTTAAGATTTGAGTATTTTAGTGTTTATGTTTGATTTCATGATTAAATGACATTTTTAATGTAAAACATGTGCTTTTATGGTATTTTATGACCCTAAGTAACTTACTTAAGCTTTAGCACATCTTTTAGGATCAAACTAAGACCTTTAGGATGATTTTTGGGTGTTTCCCTAGCTTAAACAAGGTAGTTATGAGTTCGAGTATTGATACTGGATAATATCAATGCTAGATGAATGAGGAGTATCAATACTCTAAGGAGTAGTATCGATACTACAACCATGGTATCGGTATTGAGGATGTAAGTATCAATACTAGGAGAAATTTTAGAAAACATAAGATGTTTTTTGTACTGGTACTTATGGGAGTATCGATACTTTGCCTAGGGGTATCGATACTACTCATTTCAGATGGTTATATTTGACTTTGTTTAGGCTGTAAGAGTTAAACATGACTCATAATGAAGGAATTTAATCCTTGAGTGACATAAATGGAAAAAGGTGCCTAGAAACACTCTTAAAAGTGGGTTACGATCAAAGTAATCATATTATATATAATACGTCCAAGTATTATTAGTCGAGCACATAGGGAGTAATTGAGAACAAAGGATCGTTGTGGAGGGTGTAACAGTTAGCCGTACAATAAGCTAATCATATTTCGAAATGGAGGAATCATGTACTATGAGAACATCGCTACTCAGTAATGAACCTGAGTCAAGTATCAGGCTAGCAAGTAATACAGCTAGTGAACTGTAGGATCAGTAGCTGTCATAAAATCATAAAATACATAAAGATCTCTTTAGAGTCAGAAATGACTAAAACACCTTCAAGTATCGAATGGTCAGAATATAGCAGCTTAATAAACTAACATATGTACTAGACTAATAAACCCTTGCATAACGTTCTAGATGAGAGAACGAGCGTGATATCAACTAGTAAGGGGATGACCTCACTTTAATGCACGTAGTTAAGCTAGGCTACCTCAGTTGCCCTATTGATTGTCAGTATCTTGTGGCCTTGAGCCGTCAGTCATACATATATCATTGCATCAGTCAAGTATAACATATATCCTTAGAGCTTGGCTTGACGACTGTGTGATATAGAGCCAATGCTTAAGTGAGCAGAAGTTATACCTATGTTATGTGATCACCAGGTTTTCCCTATATGATCTACCTGATTTCTATGTAAGATCAAGAGATCATTTAGTAGCTTAGTAGAAATTTTTTACCGATAAAATATGATTAATAGGTTCCCCAGTTAACTAGTATCTGATGACTATGTGAGACTAGATACTAGTAGTATGTCGCATTCAGATAATGTACAATAGTGTGCCAGTTTCACATTCAGAGAATGTACAAAAATAATAATTATTGTGATTAGAGACCCATTACAGGTGTACTCACGGCGAGACCCTTAGCAGATGATTAAGGGAAGTATGAGACTCCTACCTCAACAATATAACGGTTGAACCTTAAGTAGGTAGCAATTGATTATGATAATTTATGCACATATTACTTAGTAGTATATCTTTAGCATGCTTATGTTTATGAGACTCATAATGCTGCTTTAGATTAGCGATTATACTGCTGAGATTTTTAAGTTCAATGTTCGAATGTTTTCAGTTTACAGGTCATTAGCTTGAGTCATTCATGGAGCATCATCGCATCAAGACATCTAACATCTCTTCCAGAGTATTGTACTTTAGCTTTAGTGTGCATGTGTATTCGTAGGACCCTTATTATTGTATTCATATTTATAAGTTTGAGTTTGTATTGTTTTTGTTATAAACTATGTGTCATAGAGATCCAATTTATAAAATATTTTTATAATTGTCATGTATGTTTATTGTAGTACCATACAATATGTTTTGAAATGAAATCAATGAATTTTGAAAATTAGGGGTTGTCTCGGTAGCTGAATGTGGTGCTTTATGCCCAAATCAAGTTTAGAGTGTTACATTTAGAGGTATTAGAGTGTCAGGTTTAGTCGATCTTAAAACCAAGTGATCAGTTATAGTAAGGTGTCAATGAATACATGCCCCTAGGTACCGAAAGTACCCGTATAAGTCTGAAATCCTGATGATGCTTCTTTTCTTTGTCTATGTTGTAGAAAATTAAAGATGAACGATAGTTTTAAACATAGCCTTGAGAATAGTATGGAGATTCATGCTCTCACTTGTAAGCTAATTAGAGAAGTATTAGCTGTAGATGTGGAAAATGGGTCATTCAGATCGAGCTTGGGTCGAGCCATTTCAAGTCTAAATTATATTTGGTTTGATTTTATTCGGGTCATATCAGATCTGGTTTGGATTTAGGTCATGTGTATGATAAATCAGTTCGGGTTATTTTTAGGTTTGGGTTGCTTTTGATTTGGGTTAATTTCGGTTCGGGTTACTTTCGGTTTCGAGTTATTTTCAGTTCGGATTACTTC